ATGGGAAATAAAACAATTATTTATTTATTTTATTCTAGCAGTTTTGGCTGGTGGTTCAGCCTTCTTTGAAGGATACAAGTAAAACGGCCCAAGTGCCACAACCTGTAGAAGAGGATTGCTCTCACAGTTTGGAGACCAAAAAAAAAAAAACAATGAAACGAAGGAAGCGACAGGCAACAAAAAGAAGAAGAAGAAGAAGAAGAAGAGAGGAACGAAAGAAAGCCGCCGGAAGCAGACGGGTAGTTCATGTATTGTAGCTAAGGGTAGATAAGACCTGCCTCCAGAGGATGTGACCAACTGAAAGGGGAAAAGTGAAGAATATTACCGCTTTCTCGCATCCCCCTCATGGATTGAGATAAAGTTCAGGTGGTTCGGCAGCTGGCTCGCAGCGTCGGGCCATACACACACAAGAAGATACATACGACCCGCTTCAACTTTAGGAAAACATTTGGCATGATACAAAGCTAAATATGCCCGCTGCCCACTCCCCCTGTCTCCCCCTTCCAGAAGAAAACCATTTAACCAGTAATACTCAAAATAAATGAGTGGATGTTCTTTAAGCGATGAAAGAACAAAGCATAAGCAAAATAATAAAAATTAAAAAAAACATGGCAAAAAAACTTACAAAATTAACACACGCCAGTTGATGCACGTATTATCGAATTCATTCATTTCCCGCGCTAGATTGATCATCCTATGTGTGAGAATTCCCAAATGTCTAAACAAATTATTGGTGAATTCACTTTCTGTGTTCTATGAGATTTCGCGGAGACATGTCAGTCACCCAGGGATCCAGTTGATTCTGATGGGTGAGTGATCTGAATTTTTTTATGAAGTATGACTCCCGCTGTTCGCGCTCTCGTGGGTTCTGGAAGTCGGATTGTAGAAGTATGACACTTACGCGCTCGAAAGAGTGACCAGGCAAGTTGATGTGTTTGGAGAATGGCAAACTAGGGAGGCCCTTCACGTGTGCTCTGTGGTTATCAAAGCGCAAATGGAACGCGGTTTTTGTCTGTCCAATATACTCTTGTTTGCACACATCACAGCGAATTTTGTATACCACAATGGCTGAGTCACAGTTAAGGTCGTCTTTAATTTTGTACACAATGTCTGAAAAGAGGCTCCGACTGTATCTCTGGTCACCATGTGTGTGCACACCCTGCAACGAGGTTTTCCACATGGTCTACAGCCCCGATAGTGGTCTGATTTGTGTGTTTTCACCCTGACCAGTAAGTCTCTCAGGTTTTTATTTCTTCAGTAGACCATGTTGGATGGAGTCTGAAAAATGGCAGAGAGGCGACTACTCTGTTTAGGTATGTTGAAGTGGCAGCTTGGTATAAAATTCACTCGAGCAGCGGAGGGCACCGATTGAGTATGTGAGGATTAAATTTGCCCCTGCCGTTACATCCTTATTTCTGCCTTTTTCTTTCATCGTTACTTCTCAATCTAAAGAACGAGCACACCCAATTGTATTGTCAATGATTTTTTTCGGGTACTTTTGATGCAAGAAGGCTGCTCTCAACTGCCGTGCGTGGGTGTCAAATTGTTTAATTTTAGAGCAAATTCTTCGGTATCTGTGTGGGCTTGAGAGTAAGGAACACCTGTTTTGTAGTGATATTAAGAGCACCGACCCATTCGCAACAATATGTCTAAGGAGGAGCGGGAGGTTTCCTGCAGTTTAAGGGACAGCCATAGCATCACTATCAAACCGGCTGATAAGGTTGGCACTGTGGTTGTGCTTGACAGGACTGACTACGTCAAGAAAGGACTTCGCCAACTGGCAGATGAAAATTTCTACAATGAACTCCCTTGCCATCCAAAAGGGGAATATAAAAGTACAATTAAAGCCTCATTAAATTCATTACATAAGAGTGGCAAGATTATGCATCCAATGCTTGAAATAATGTCACCTGGCAACTCCTCTCCTCAGCGTTGCAATTTACTACCTCAAATTCACAAGATTAATAATCCTGGCCGACCTACAGTTTCCAGCAATGGCACTGCTACTGAAAAAAGTCTATAGTTTCACTGACTCCATCATTAAGCACATCCCAGAATCATTCCCAGCATACGTTAAAGATACCAGCCACTTCCTTCCAGAATTCTCAAAGCTTGTAGTACCTCTAGAATGCTGTTTGGTCAAAATGAATGTCTCATCACTGTACACCAACATTCTCCACAACGAAGGAATTGCCGTCATAATCGCCGTCTATGGAAAAAGTAAATTGACGAGTGAGTTCGATGAAAGCGCTTTAAAGGTGCTCCTAAATTTGTACTTAAACATAACTTTGAATTCGACCAAAAACATTACCTACAAGTGAACGGGACTGCCACAAAAACCAAAATGGCCCCAAATCATGCAATTACTTTCATGGCCTGTTTAGCGATCGCTTTCCTCGAAAATTCTCCATTCAAAACGATATTCTACCGACACTTCCTCGATGATATATTCTTCGTGTGGGCTGATGGTGAGCATAATTTTTCCAAATTCATTTCTGATTTCAACTCCCTGCATCCTTCAATAACATTCACGCACAGGTATTTAAAGAATAGTGTTTATTTCCTTGATATCACTGTATCACTCAGTGGCACCACCATCTCTACTTCCCTGTATAAAAAACCAACTGACTGCCAACAGTATCTGCATTTCCACAGCAGCCACCCCCATCACTGCAAAACAGGTGTTCCTTACTATCACGCCCACAGATACAGAAGAATTTGCTCTGAAATAACACAATTTGACACCTACGCACAGGAACTGAGAGCAGCCTTCTTGGGTCAAAAAGACCCCGAAAGAATCATTGACAATGCAATTTAAGCACGCTTGTTCTTTGGACCGAGAAGGAAGAAAAAGGCGGAAATAAAGATATAACCACCGGGGCAAATTTAATCCTCACATACTCCGCCGCCGCCCCTCGTGTGAATTCAATACTAAGCTGCCACTTCAACATACTTAAACACAGTAGTCGCCTCTCTGCTATTTTTAAGACTCCACCCAAGGTGGTTTACCGAAGAAATAAAAACCTGAGAGACTTACTGGTCAGGGTGAAGACACACAAATCCGACCATTATCAGGGCTGTAGACTGTGTGGAAAACCTCTTTGCAGGGTGTGCACACACATGGTGACCACAGATAAGGCTGAAGCCTCCTGTTCAGACATTGTATATAAAATTAAAGACAACCTTAACTGTGACTCAGCCAATGTGGTATGCAGAATTTCCTATGAAGTGTGCAAACTGAAGTATATTGGACAGAAGGAAACCGCGTTCCGTTTGTGCTTTGATAACCACAAAGCACACGTGAAGGGCCTCCATTAGGTGCCGTTGTCCAAACACATCAACTTGCCTGGTCATTCTTACGAGCGCGTAAGTGTCTTACTCCTACAATCCAACTTCCAGAACCTATGAGATCGCGAGCAAGGGAGTCATACTTCATAAAGAAATTCAGATCACACACCCACGAAATTAACGGGATCCCTGGGCCACTGATGTGACTCCACGAAATCTCATAGAACACAGAAACTGAATTCACCAATTAATTTGTTTAGACATACGGGAATTCTCACACGTAGGATGATCAATCTAGTGCGGGAAATGAACGAAACCTAGTGCGGGAAATGAACGATGCCGCATGCATCAACCAGCATGTGTTAATTTTGTAATTTTTTTCCATGTTTTTATTTTTATTCGTTTGTTTATGTTTTGTTCGTTCATCTCTTAAAGAATATCCATTCATTTGTTTTGAGTATTACTGGTTATATGATTTTCTGCTGGAAGAGGGAAATGGGGGGAGTGGGCAGAGGGCATATTTAGCTTTGTACCATGGCAAATGTTTTCCTAAAGCCGAAGCAGGTCGTATGTATCTTCTTGTGTGTGTACGGCCCAACGCCGCAAGCCAGCTGCCGAAACACCTCAACTTTATCTCAATCCATGAATGGGATGTGAGAAAGCGGTAATATGCTTCACTTTTCCCCATTCAGTTGGTCACATCCTCTGGAGGCAGGTCTTATCTACCTCTAGCTGCAATACATGAACTACCCGTCTGCTTCCGGCGGCACTCTTTTGTTCCTCTCTTCTTCTTCTTGTTGTCTGTCGCTTCCTGCGTTACATAGTTTTTTTTGTTTGTTTTTCTTCTTTGGTCTCAAAACTGTGAGGGCGGTCCTCTTCTACAGGTTGTGGCACTTGTGCCATTTTACTTGTAGCCTCCGAAGAAGGCTGGACCAACAGCCAAAACTGTCAGGAATAAATAAATAAATAATTGTTTTGTTTCCTATGTATTGCACTATTCTCAGAATATATATATACATATATATATATATATATATATATACATATATATATATATATATATATATAAATTGTAGCGAAGCCTCCGAACTCTGAAATGGGTCGAACTCTTGAGTACCTTCTAGTGGGGCTACCCAACAAGGACGCCGCTCGCGCTGAGAGCCCGTGCTTGGCTGTGACTGTCGCCATTGTATATTCTCGCTCGTTGCCGGCTAATAAACGCCTTAACAATATATATCTATATATATATATATATATATATATATATATATATATATATATATATATATATATATATATATATATATATATATATATATATACACACACACACACACACACGTGAATTTCAGCGGCAGCCGCGATGGCAAAAACCAGCAAAGACTGTCCATATAATTGCTATCGCAATAAAAGCAAAAATGCCGAAACTCTTTCTGATATGACAAAGCATGGCACGTGCAGGCAGTGTCATCAAGCATAGAACTACTTGGGGGCCCCCATTTAGCAATGCGTTTTTCTTTTCAGTTATTAATTTCATTGAATATAACTGAAGAGAGCCTTACCAAAGCGCGATTCTTGCTTGTTGGTGCCTGCTACCCAGGTCTATTATGAACATGATGCATGTGTATGAAATCAAAACAAAGTGCCTCCATCAACATACACCTTGCAAAATTCTTTACTGCTAACATGAAGCCATGTGATTCGGTACTCACGCATCCCGCATGGCTTCTACGGACAGCCCTTCTTGTTTGGCGAGTGCATCGGCCATCTTCGTAAAGTGAGTGGCCATGTTTGCCAGGTTGACTGCCGTGGGGCGGGACGTCTTGAGGTACTCCAGCCGGCTGCGTATGTAAGCAGCCAGCTCTGGGCAGCTTGCAGGCAACTTGAGCAGGGTCATCTCAGAAGCCAAGCCGAGTGCGGCCACTATGGCGATTGCCGGAGCACCTCGCACCTGCATTCACACGCTCACTTCACTTCAGCAGATGCAGCCACCAAACCTTCATATTTTATTTATATAATAAATTATTGGGTATAACAAAGCTCTTTTTGTGTCAGGTGGACCTGATACAACCAAAGTTCGCTTCAGTGGACTCCCTTTAAGATGAACTTGAAGGGACCATGATCATTTGTTCGTCTTAGTTTCAGAAGTTCATCTCATTGAGACACCCCCCGGAAACCAAATGCAAAGATGCCAGGTGCACCTAAATATGTTGCTTGAAAACTCTGAATAGAGTATACTTAATATAGAGAGGAAAGGAACCAGAAAAAGCCTTTATTTGGCTCAGCTTCATAAAAGTCATGCTTTCAAGTAGAGTATTTACGCTGATCCGAAGAGTACTCGAATGCGTGAGTTCATAATAAATATGCTCATGTATGAATCGTTGCCACGTTTTAAATTATTACTAAACCTGTAGCATGGCCCTATTTTCATGATTAGATAAAATAAAAAGGGAAAGACAGGCACAATTTTCCTTCAAAGAACAGAAAATTTATTGTTCTGGCTGTTAACTTTCTGGTAGGGTGTTTTACTGGCTTTGCTATCACTTTTGCATGCGCCTCCATTGCATACCATGACAAAGCCAATATACGCCAAGTCGCTTATGAAAGTCTGGAAGCTTTTCTTTGGAATCTGATATTTTTTTTATTTTTAGCCTACAGTAACGCTCCCTGGGCAGCTGAAGATCTCTGTTTTCGCTACTCATGACATCAAGCACACAAAAAGACAGCCATACATAATTTGTAAAATGACCTTCCTTTGTCGTGCACTTTCACAATAAAAGTGGTGCATCACAAGTTGCTGCATTTCAGATGCGATGAGCACAGGCCCTATGAAAAACAACGCAAACTAACATGTGCTCAGAAACCATTGTGTGACGGCATCTGACAATGACATCTGACTCCTCTGATGGGAGTGCTAAAGCCGCATACGTATGTGGGTTTGGTTTCATGTGATTATAATGCCCAGACAATCTTTGTTCCTGTTCTCACTTTCATTTGGCTTTTTTTTCACACACCCCTTTCCCTTGCATTTTCCCCTCTAGCCAAGCTTTTGTATTCTTCTATTTCCCACTGTACTCCTGTTGGGGAAATGAATAATGCGATGAGAATATGAAAGCACAATCGCTTTTTGTTGCTTTCTTTCTGATAAAGTCAGTCCTTTCTCTACCTACAGGCCAGGGGTGAGAGAGATACCAGCTTTGTGCACTGACCTTTCCTTTCCACTTTTCTTGCTTTCGATTAGCTTTGCGTCGTTGCAGCAGGAAGTTTTTTTTTCCCCCATTTTGCTTTCTCTTGTCCGCCTGAATGCCCACATCAAGATCATAACGTTCGTTGCATAGAATCTCCGTCACTGTCGGTCGCTGTGAGAATTCGTCTTAACAGAAAAGGCCTGTTACGCGATTCGTCTTAAGCAGATTTTTTTTTTTTTTACATCAAGTCTAAGGAAAACCAAACAAGCATTCTTGTGTTGTTTGTCTTAAGCGAGAATTGGTCTTAGCAGAATTCGTCTTAATGGGAGTTGACTATGGTAATTCAAAGGAGTTGTCCCTATAGGCTAGCTCTATCAACCAAAACCCAAACACACCACTGGCCAACATCGTGGGAATCTGCTGATTGTGGCGCCATCTGCAGACAAAAAAAAAATACTCAGTTTACAATTTTAAGTTTTCCAACGCCGCATCATGCAAGTGATACTGCAATTATGCTTGCCATTTTGCAGATGATACTTACACTCAACTGTTAGTCTAGGTGTGAGCATGCCATTCATTGCATGTACGGGAAAAGAACTTGAATTTTCATTTGTCCTGTGCACACAGCCGGCACAAGTGACGTAGGCTTTCCTTTTTCCTATTTTTACGTTTTGATATGTTTTTTATAGTGTAGTCAGCTGACCCAGTTGGTAAGGATCCATCGAAGTAAGAAACAAGACGCTGGAAGAGATGGCAAGAACAAGTGCTGGTTGTCTTCCAAGCTTTTTAATCAGAAGTACAAAGGGGTCCACTGTTAAAGAGAACACTGGAGCGCGTGTCGTCTGCTCAACGCCACCGCCGCCCAGCGGCAGCAACTAGTTTCACACAGGAGCAGTAAGCGCTGGCGCTCGTTTGTCCGTCTGCTACAGTTATGGCCGCTCTTCAACTCATCGCGAAGGGCAGCCTAATTCGCATAATCTTAAATATAGTCACTTTCTTTCGAGCTAGAATGAAAATGACGAGAATGATTTATTATCAGATAAATGTCACCTGACACATCAGTTGGATAGCAGTCTTTCGTTTGCCTTTTCGTTTGATAAGGAATTGCTCGCTTCGAGGAAGTTTTCAGGTGGCGTTAGTGAAAGACGCATGCGAATGCTTTGTTGAGCTTACGCACAGCAGCAGCTCAAATCTGCATTAGTATGCATCAAATACGCACTCTAAAAGAGATATTATTCTTTAATATATTTATGCTAGAAAAAGACTTCTCTAAAGAAGAAGTCATGCTTCTTTAACCACGAAAATTATCAATGAGGTAATCTAATTTTTTCTTAGTTTTGCAGCAGCTTTTCATCTTAACATGGTTATGCAGCCTGCGGAAGAACTTCAAGGTGCGAGGACAGCTGGCTTCGCGACGAGCTGAAGCGCGGCCAGAACTGTAGCAGACGACAAACGGGTGCCGCCAACGGTGCTCATTGCTCCTACGCGAAACTAGTTGCCGCAGCAGGCCTGTGGTGGCACCGAGCAGAGGACACATGCTCCGGTGTTCCCTTAAACAGTGGACCACCCTTTACATATAGCTCGCAGCCGTACAGTGCATGTGAAAAAAAAAAAAACTTCTGAGCCTATCTTTCATTCAAGAACCGGGCCACATCCACGGGCATATTATAAGCTGACCCGACATTTCTTTATCATAATGCCACCAACGGCTGACTGACACATGCTTGCAATAGTTTAGTGGTCTATCAACAAGTTCACATGCTTTTAGGCTTCCGTGTTTAGACGAAATCATGCACTCCTGTGTTTAGTTAGTTTGATACCCATTTCTTTTTGGTTCTACACTGCATGTCATAAATAAGGCTTACCGTACAAACTATCTTCCCCGTTTCACAAATCGCACTACACACTTTCCTCAGGCTTAAACTTGTTTCTTGAACAATACTAGTAGAACAAGGATTTCATGCTGTTCCATTTGTAGTATGCTCAGCTAGTCAAAAGAAGCACTGTTAACATGACCTCTCCCAGTACTGTGTTGAAAAAGTATATATGTGTGATTGTTCAGGTCCTCGAGAACTTGCTCAAAGCTCGTTGATCCCAGTAATCTATGAGTAACAAAAGCCCATAGCTTACTTCACAACTTAAATCTCTGTCACTCAGAACACTGATAAACAAGTCACAGCTTTGCCGCAAAGGCGAAGCAATGAATGTGATAGCAACAAATTGTAATGTCAAGCGAATAGCAAGCAGATCAAAACGTTCCCCGTGCTGCTTCCACAGAAATGGTGCACAATACATACTCACAGGTACAGATGAATTCTAATAAGTGTCTCAGTTGCTACTTTGCTGTAACAAATGAGACACTTATTCACAAAAGCATGCCCTTTTGCAGCAAGTGCAGTGACTTTAGTTTAGCGGCAAGAGAAGAGAGACGTGAGACGGCGTGGAAGGCGACCGACGGGCCCGTGCCGATCTCGCCACTTTATTCTACGCCCGAAGCGGAGCCGCGGTGGCTGTCCACGTCCTATACGCCAAGTGTGCTAGCTTGTTCCAATCGTCGCGCAGCTCAAGCTAGCATAAGCTACGTGAGAGGCGCGACGCAATGATCAAGAAATGATGATAATGATCATGCACTACAGTGCTCCCCCCCTAGCGCTTTGCGCGATTGGAAGTGCATATAACATAGAAAGAGAAAGAGACTATGTACATGAACGACAATCCGCATGGTGACTGTTTGGAAAGTTCAGGTTGTCAACGTATATGGGTCATCGGGAAGCAGTAAATCTCCGGTGGGCGACACTGGGAGAAACGCAGTCAACGAAGATGAAAGCGCCGGGTCGCTGCGTTCATAGACACGTGCATCCCACAACGACGTGGCGGGACCATTCGAAAGTGCACCCGCCAGTCCGAGTAGACGCGGATGACAAACGTGCCGGCAGATGGAACCGTGGATAGAGGCCGAAGAGCTCGCACCGGCGATGTGGGCGAAAAAGTGTGAACAATCAAAGCGCACCCATCATGACTGAGCACTGAAGTTTCACAGCGGAAGCGGTGTCTCGGACAGTGCACAGGATGCCGAGCATGCTGTCGACAAGGAGCCGCAGAGCGGTCGTGCTGGTGCGGTTGTCTCTGTTGATGGAACACCGACGTCCGCGTAGCACTGCGGCCGGCATGCTGGGGCGATTGGCCGAGTCGGCGGATGCGGAAACGCCGTGCATTGCGGTTAGTCATGTGCACGGCAATTGGTTGGCCATTGCGTCGGGCAAACCTCGTAGGTGCTTGCGCCATCTTGAATGCCAAGGCTGCAACACATGGCTGTTCAGTAGGAAGCTTGAAAAAGGGCTGCTCTGTATTATGCAGAATGTGATGATTTTGCCGGCATACTGTCAAGGGCAGCAGATATGCAGTTGGACCGCACGTCGTCGCTGTTGTTACCAACGAGCTTGCGTGGCAGACTGCATCCGGCGTCAAATGCTCTGGGGAATGGTTGTGAAGCTCAGAAGACGTGAGTTTTGCTGGAGGATCGGGCGGCACACCTGCACGCGTTGAACAACCATTGGTTGTCCGCGCATGAGGGTTGGCGTGCAGGCTTGCATGATCGATGACAACCTCTACAGCATACGTGGCATGTGTAGTCTGCTCTGCCATAGGCGCACCAGGTATGTCGTCCTCAACTGGGTCGGTCATAGTCGCAGCGTTTCGGAAGTTTGGCCATGGTTGATGGCTGGTGGCTTTAACTTCGGTTGCGGCAGACTGCGAGGGTGAT